CAGGCACCCAGGACTAGTTACCTTCATTTGTTAAGATTCTAAGTTTATATAGAAACAATCCACATCATTTCAGCTAAAAATGTTGAGATGTGAAATTTTTAGAGTACTTAGATATGACCTTTTTCCTAAGTATTTTTGTAGATTTTTTCTTGGATTATATATTTCCAAATTTTCCTTCCATTGACAGTCATTTTCTTTAGAAATCATATTTTCTGGTAACTAATCTTCTATTTCTCATTAAAACTGAACCCTTTTTACATTCCTTCTTACAACTTCTATGGGGGAGTTGGAGACTTTCCTTTGTATACTTGGCATAATACCTACAATATTCTGTCACTAATATCATGTGATGGTCTCTAGGAAATAAGGTCTTTTATGTTACATATACTTTATAGAAATGATGGATCTTAGAAAAAGGAACACAATTACATTATCCTATTAATCCTTATGACTTAAAGTAAGATACATAAAATTTTCTCTATAGTAAACTGAAATGTTTTCTTCAGGTTGTCTGTATAAAGCAGTAAAATGTCTGTAAAAGCAGATCATCCTATTATATCATGATTTGTTATGTCTCTCTGTCCAACAAGAATGACTAGAAATTACTTTCTAGTAATTGGTGAAGGGGATATTAACTCAAGACTGAAAAAGAAAGGTTCATGGTCTTTATAAATTATGAAATGAATGATTTAAAAAAATTATGAAGGCAAGTTATCCAAACTAGTATACAAATAACTCAAAATCTTCTCACAATCTGCCTACCAACGTTATCATTTGTCTCCAACATACACCCAATATTCCAGACATTCTGGTCTTCTAATTCATCTTGAAACACATGATGATTATCCCTAGTTATCTACCATCATGAAAAAGAACTACAACCATTTAACAATTTTTCAAAGAACTCTGACAAAAATCATTTTATTTGACCCAAAAAACAATCCTACATAACAAAATAAAAAAGGGTCACTGCATTTCCTCATTCACAGATGAGGAAGCTGAGTTCAGAGAGAGTAAATGACTCAGCCATGAAAATTTGGCTAGTAATGGGCAAAATGGAAGCTAAAAGGTAGGTTCGAGTTCAGCATTCTCCGATCTTGTAAGGTTATGGCTTCTTCCCTTATATAACCTAATTCTACCTATCCTTCAAGATCCTTCTGTTCCATTTTACAGTATTGCCCATCCCCACCCCATTACCAAAAATCCCTCCCTCCCCTAAAGTCCTGTTAACCTCAATGGTCATTAATCTTGGTGTTCACTGACAGTGTATCTTGCGATGTTATGTAATAGTCTATATGTAGTATATTTCCTGACCACTTAACTATACCACTAGCTTCTTGAGGTTTCTATGTGTTTTCTGTATTGTTTGTATCCCCCTGGTGTACCAATGATCTCTTTTGTTTTGCCTTTGTTTGGGCCTGCCTGATATCCCTTCACCTGCCCTTAATCTTTGGTGTCCCTATCTTTGGTTAACAGCATTCTTTAGGATATGACCCATCTTCCAACACAGATAGTCTTGGTAGTGTTCTCAATCAAGGTTCTTTGCCTTCCCTTGGACAAGGAGTATTCTTGTAATCCATACTAGGTCAATCAGTCTCTCTTTCTAATAAGAATTTGAATCAAATTCAGGGAAAGGAGTAAGAAAATGGTTGGAACTAATATACACAAAGACAATTTCCTGAAAAGACTTTCCATTTGTTCTTGCTCCCTGTTTTCTCAAAGCTGCTGCTGTTGTTGTTTTCTTAAATTATTTATTTATTTATTTATTAAATGATTATATTTGTCAGAGAGAGAGAGAGAGCACACTCACAAGCTGGGGGACCAAGCAGAGGAACCAGCAGGCAGAGGGAGAAGCAGACTCCCAGCTGAGCAAGGAGCCTGATGAGGGACTCAATCCCAGGACCCTGGGATCATGACCTGAGCCGAAGGCAGACCCTCAACCAACTGAGCCACCCAGGCGTCCCAGTCGCTGCTTTTTTAAAGGCCAAGTTATTCAGCCTTTCTTCAGTTTCTGGTTGAGCTATCTCATATCTTCCTGATAAATTGCATATTCCTTTTTTTTTTTTTTTTTTTTTTTTTTGCTTAAGTCAGGCAGAACCACTTCCCCTTGTTTGCAAAGATCCTTATCTGACATACCCACAAAGCTTAGTGCCTAGGGAGTGTTAAGGATTTTCAAAAGTTTTGTTCTTATGCAGATTATGTTATTGTATATAACTGAAAACATAAATAAATGACCCTGAAGTGCACCCCTGCTATTGGTTAGAATTTCAATAACCAACAGGCAAGCAGGGGCAAAACTAACATTAGGAATTCATCTGCATGGAAATGACTTATATTATAGTTCAGAAACCTGGTTTGAGGACTCACAAAGTGATAATTCATGGCTGCAAATTAACAAAGCACTTTGTGGTAAGGGTAGTACTTATAGTAATGATACCATTTAGTTATATTTGACATTTAGGTTAACCCATCTGTTTTCCTTTTCTTCCCAAATATTATAGGAGCCAATTGTGATTATCTGAATTTTTAATATTATTTTACTGCAAGATACATCTGGTAAGTTTAACTGCTTATACCATGGCTCCTTTTTTAAAAAGTACGTGAATATTTTAACATACTGTAGCTTCTTGTGAAGAGCAGATTATAGTTTTAAATTCACTGAGAGAGGAAATTACGATTAGAATAATTTAGGTGGGAAAATGTTACCATTTTTTGAAGCATAATCAGTGTTCTACAAAGGAAGTTCTCTCTGCTATTCTTTAAGGAAAACAAATTAAGAAAAATCAATCAAGTAATCTTTTATAATATAACTGGAATTTAACAGCAATTCTAGCTAATTATACTAGTTAGTATTTTAACTACTCCCAGCTGAGCAAGGAGCCTGATGAGGGACTCAATCCCAGGACCCTGGGATTAACTACTAGTCAGTAGTTAATTTACTTTAATTTACTTTTGAACAGATTACAAACCTAAGCTAACTATTTCTATGTACTTCATAAATTTCTGTCATTTTAGACATTTACATCTACTTAGAATCCTTTGTATTCCAGGAACATCCTCTTAATCCTAGACATTAGGGGAATATCATGCATGTATGTGATATTTCTCTTTCTTAATGACAAGTATTTCCCTGAAGATAAAAATCCTACTGATAAGTGGGGGGGGGGGGAAGGGGGCATTTTTAAAACATTCGCTTCTTCTCTTTTAGAACATCTATTACTACATGATAGTATTTCCTACAAGATTATTTTTATTTCATTTGAAGTTGGCAAAAATCTTTGTGCTGAATCCTTTGAGCATACCTCTAGTGATAGATGTCAGATCAGTGTTGTATGGAAGAACTTTCATTTGACAGGTAGATGACAGGAAGAAGCTTCTCTCCAGAATGTAGCTGTTAAATTCTTCTGTGAGATTAATATCATCTTTTGTTTCTGTGTATAAATAACTTATTTGTATTTGCTATATAAAATCAGTTCATGTAATTACTTGGAATACTGTGAAATTAAGACACTTAGAACGGGTACATATTTATTCAAATTAGATAGTTTAACTCTTTTTTATATGAATCAAATGTGAAATAGGTGTACAATATAAATTTTCAATGATCTTTTCTCTTAACTTATATTTTTATAATCATCTACCAAAAATATCTTGATTTACTCACTGTGCATATAGCATATACTCAAAACAAATAGCATCTTCAGAAGAGATGACTTTATTAGTATTGAATATATGGTATGCAATACAATGAAAATGTATTGAATATTTAGATTTATCCTATAAATCTGGTTATGATTTATTCCACTTTATTACAAGCATTGCCTTATTCTCTCTGGCATAATCAAATAATTTCACATGTCCCTTAATATCACAAGAAAAGGGAGTAACTTTTTTTTTTTTATAAAATCTACCATTCCAGAGGATCTTCCCTATCTTTCTGGTCCACTTTCCTTATACACCTCAAAAATGAATGAGTACCAGATATAATTCCATTATACATCCTATTACCTACAAAGGTTATTCTCTGTCTATTTAGGTTAGAACTACTTGAAGCAAATCACTTTTGATACATATTAAAATGCCAGTGCATGTATATGTAATGTACATCTATTTAATGCATGAATAGAAATTTATATCCATTCCTATGTTTGGGATTCTTGTTATAATACACTTTAAGAACTAACCAAAGTCTCTCAATGTTTTAAGCTGGGAGAAGAAAAAAAGTGAAAGAATGGTGAGATGTGAAAGAGGGATTGCTTGTTTTCAGATTTATTTTCCTCTTTAGCTTTCTTAAAGGCCTTCACCTTAATGTCTGTTCAGCTTTCTCTTTGTAACAGACAGATCTTTCCCTTGAATAAGGTGGTTCTTTATAGCCTAGAAATGGCCGTATACGATCACTTTTGTGCTTCTCTGTTTCTTCTCACGAGAATTGAAATCTCAAAAAAAAAAAAATACTATGAAATGCTTGATCAAAACAATAAGATGATTATCACTTGAATTTTTTTCAACTTTTAGTTAATAGACTAGAAATCTAGTATAAGCTTGGTAACAACAGTATTTAACAACAAAGACTATTGATTGTTTAGACTAGAATAAGCAAAGCATATTCAAAAAGAGGTTTCTGGCTATTTACCTCATTACATTTAGCTCCTCACATAGTTTTTAGAGAGACATTAAATAAGTACAAGGGAAATGAAATACAATATTGCATCTACTTTATAAAAAGGAAATTTTTTTTTAATTTACAAACTCCAGTAAGATCTGATCAGAGGAGTTTAGTACTATACTACCACAGAATTTGCATTGTCTTTGAGATTTCACTGCACTAAAATTAAAAATATATATATTTATCTGTTTTAATTTAGACATAATTCACTTACCACAACATTCACCCTTTTAAAGCATACTTATTTTTTTTGCTTATGTACTATTGCCAATTTAGAGTGATCTCTCTCACAGATGAGATTATTGCAAATTAGCATTATAAAATGTTATCTTACCTTACAAAGGAAGTTGATTTTAAAACCCAAAGACTGGGCATTTCTTGAGCCTGAGTTCATGTAGTTTCCAACCAAAAGAACTAACTCTAAAAGTCTGTTAAAGCTTTCACTTTTCTTCAGTTCTTCACAGGCAAGCGTTACCGCTATGATGCTTGGTTTGATGTTGTTTACATGTTCTTCAAATGTCAGCTTGAAAAGAATGTTTTCGAGACGAGGCTGTAACATTTTCACTGAGCTCATCTGTAAGATAAGAAATGCTCTGTAAGAACACATATATATATAGCCTGTTGTTTCATTTTCCAGTAGGCATAATTTTATACACAGGACTAAAATTTCTGCATAAAATGAATTCTTCCTGCGTTTTAAAAATTATTGTTTTGGTTTGTTTTAGACATTCCAAAGGAATATTTTCCAAAGTTTAAAAATAGCTAGCTGTTCAGTTTTAAACAAATCATCCTTTTAACAGTAAGAAAATATTATTGAAGCTAAGTAGTTGCTATTTGTTAACTGCATAATCATTAGTCATCAGTAGCATTTAAACTACCAATCGTCCCTGAGGTGAACTATGAAAATTTACAAACATGAAATTGAGTTGAGTGAACAGTATGGCCACAGATAAAAGATGTACATGATGACAGAAAATGTAAGTGGAACCACATTTCCTAAGAAATTACTATTACTATGCTATTTGAAATCAGAGGACTAGCTCTGATTGAACATTTAATAATTTTTAAACCTATGATTTCTATTCATCAAACATATTAAATATTTACATATGCTCTAAAGAATTTCCCCTACTTGACAGAATGTTGATGTTAAAAAATTAGGTTACAGTAAAATCCCACAAGCTTACTTTTAAGGACATTATTCAAGAATTCTATATTGGTTTTCTTTGAAACAGTTCAACTTAGGTTTTTATTACTTGTTTCAAAGGATTGGTGCACATTCTCTATTCCCTTTGGTATAGCTCCTATGGTAATAAATTCTTTTAGCCATTAATTTCCTATAACTCCAAGTTATTTAACTAGCTTTCATTTACCAAATGAATTCTGAGACAGAGGTGGGGGTAAGAGTAGACACATATGAATATACACAAGCATACACAAATGAAAATAATTTTTTTTTCCTTTAGTAGGCTCCACACTGTGTGTGGAGCCCAATTTGGGGCTTGAACCCATGACCCTGAGATAAAAACCTGAGCTGAGATCAAGTCGGACACTCACCTGACTGAGCCACTCAGGCACCCCAAAAGAAATTATTAATAGTCCTAATTATATTTTTTTTGCACTTAAAAATAGCTTAGTTTCTTGAATATAAACATGAAAAGAATGTGATGACATAAACAAAAGTCCTTAAGCCACAAAGTGCCCTTCAAAAGAAGCAAATAAGCTAGCCCGGTGATGGGTATTAAGGAGGGCACGTATTGCATGGAGCACTGGGTGTTATACGCAAACAATGAATCATGGAACGCTACATCAAAAACTAATGATGAACTGTATGGTGACTAACATAACATAATTAAAAGAAAGAAGCAAATGAGCTGTTGAATACATCATATCTGCTCTAATATGGAAGGAAGGCAAAAGTTCATAATTTTCCTTCTTTGAAATGAACTTGCCCATTAACATTGGGTGTCTGCCTCTCTAAAGATTAACCTTTGCCTTCTGCTAATCCCTGTATATGCTCTTATGCTCTTTATACATTATGTACAAAAGTATGCTGGGAATATTGACCTGTTACTATATTTATGTAGATCTTATTACTACTTCTCAATAGCTCTTTTTTTTTTTTATATGATTGGGGTAATATTATACAAACCATCCTACAGTTTCTTAATCACTCCCATCCATGGTAAGTATAAGACATACCACCAAATCACAAATTTCCAATATAGCCTAAAACTCATAACACAGTCATTTGAAAACTATAGCCACTGATAAAACTAGCATATGATTCTAGATGGGTAAACAGAAATTAAGTGCTAGAGATGTGTGCTGAAGGAAAACTTTAAACTCCTGTTTTAAAGATTTTATTTATTTGAGAGAGAGAGGGCATATGAGCAAGCGGGGTGGGGGGCGGCAGAGGGAGAACAAGAGAGAGAATGTCAAGCAGACTCCACTCTGAGTGCAGAGCCTGACATGTGACTCGGTCTCACAGCCCCAAGATCATGACCTGAGCTGAAACCAAGAGTTGAACACTTAACTGAATGAGCCACCTAGGTGCCCCAAAACTTTAAACTCTTATGACTACAACATTTAATGAAGACTTCACAATAATATGAATGGACAGAAAAACAAATGAGAGAGAAGGAGAGAGAGATTGAGACAGAGAGAGAACAAACAGGAGCCAAAAGGAAGGTTTAGAAAGAATATAGTATGAGAAAAGGTTTATAGTTAGGAATACACAAGGTATATCCCTAGGGGCAAAATTTGGACTGAAGTACCCAAAGAGTCCATGTAAAGGTCAGGAAATTGGAAGCTAACCATATCAAATTCTTTATCTCCATGAATGCAGAAATCTCTTTGTATATGTTTTCATGGGAATCTAAGTTTCTATATGTTTTTCTGCCTTTCTTTATGCCTCTACCACTCTCTTCAAATCCCTCTCCACTTTATTTTTCCTTTGTTTGCATTGGTAACTGGCATCATTTGCACATACACATGTTTCTATAATTTTATGTGTGGAAGGGATAGTTTTTCAGTCTCTCTGATGGTTAAAAAAAAGCCCTAGAGCTACTCTGACCAAGTGCTAGTCACAATTTACATGACTGCCCTTCTGGCCATGCTTTGTAGGGCTTGCAGGTTCACCAGGGTGGCCTTGGTCCCAGATGAACAAGTAATTTAAACCCTTCTGCTTACATGGATTTTTAGTCTCACTTCAGTTCTAATACTACTTGTCTTCATTCATATTGTTACCCTTTCTGGGGTTTGTATTTCCATCTTTGGCCTACAGATCCAGACAGAATGGATTTAACCTCTTTTTTTAATACCACCTCTGACTGAAATAATGTGACCAAAAGTGTAATTGCATAATAATAGTAAAATAACAGTGATTAACGTTTATTAAGTTCCTTGTGCCAAACATTTTCCTGTATATATATATATATATATTACAAATACGTATTAACTGATTTGAGTCTCAGAACAATCCTAGGAGAAGGTTATTAGCATTAGTCTCATTCTAAAGATTAGGAAAGTGAGGCACAGAAGTACTAAGTGATTTATGCAAAATCAAGTTGTATGTTAAAGATCTGGAGATTTGAACTCAGGCATTCAGGTCACATAACCCAGACTCTCAACCACTACACCACAATGGCTCTTGAATTCATATTGGGAGCAGTATGTAAGGTTGGTTGAAGGAGAGATTAGTGGCAGGGACAGTATTACTAAGTCTTCAAAATGACCTAAAAAACAGGTAATGAACTAGGATGTTGATGGTAGGAAGGGGTAAGATGCAATGGATATGAGAGACAGAATTAAGGAAGAATCAATGGGATTTAGCATTAGTTATGAGAGAAGATAGTCAGATGACTTCAAGGTTTTAAGTCTGTTGTGAGGTAGAACACTGTTGGCATTAATGAAGGCAGAAAGAGGTGCTGGTTTGCTGTGGTTTACTATTTGGATTGTTGCTTTGTTTCGGGTGAATTTGTTTACCCTGATCTTCTGCTGCCTATACTATAGCAAGCTAATCAGAAACTAAGGCAGTGTAGGTGCAGGTAAGTTGCAGCTTAGTAGCAAATTCAATTAAAGACTGAATCTATAAACTTTCACATTGTCTCACTGTGAGAAACTAACCTACCTAATTTCTCCTGTCTTCAGTTTCCTCATCTACAAGGTAGGGGAAATTCCTGTGATCAGTCTTGTTTTGATAATTAGATAGGAGCCAAATAATGATCCATAAACATTACCTCCTTCTTTTTTAATCTCTGCTTCTAGAATTGGGAAAAGGTGGGGGAAAAGGTACTTGATTATACAAATAAAAATATTACTTGGTTGTTACAAAAAAAAAAAATTGGCCTTGGGGCGCCTGGGTGGTTCAGTCCTTAAACATCTGCCTTTGGGATCAAGCCCCGCATCTGGCTCCCTGCTCCGCGGGGAGCCTGCTTCTCCCTCTCCCACTCCCCCTGCTTGTGTTCCCTCTCTCGCTGTGTCTCTCTCGAATAAATAAACAAAATCTTTAAAAAAAAATTGGCCTTTAAGTGAACTTGGTTTACCATCCTCTCAGACATCAGTATATTTCAGACACTACTAGCTTTCCACTATTAAGGCCCCAAATCTTGGGATCATATTCAAATTGTGGTAAACACAATGTAATTTAATACAATTCCTTGCCTGTATTTTGATTTGAAGAATTTCTTAGAATTGTCTCTTATTTTCCATGCTCAACATTCAAGCATAAGTTTTATGTACCTCAAGGTTGATTTAGTAAAACTGATTATTTAAATGTGCTCTCTGGGGCACCTGGGTGGCTCAGTCCATTATGCATCTGCCTTCAGCTCAGGTCATCATCTCAGGGTCCTGGGATCCAGCCCCGAGTAGGGCTCCCTGCTCCGCAAGGAGTCTACTTCTCCCTCTGACCCTCCCTGGTCTCATGCTCTCTCTCTCTCTAATAAATAAATAAAAATTTTTTAAAAAGTAAATGTGCTCTCTGATCCCTCCAACCTTTCCCCCTCCAAATCTTCACATAAATAGTAAAATGACACCTCTGTGATAGGAAAATATTGCTTTCTTGACATTTTTAGTTTTAGGTATTATATCTGGTAGCATCTGGAAGTTCAGTCCTTAAGTTTAGGAGGAGATAAGTATTAGAGTTGGCAGATTTGGGGAGTTATCCAAATAGATGCTGTGGGAGGTAAGTTTGTTGATGAGGAGAGTACATAGGGAGAAGAGTCAGGGACTGCACCTTGTGTAGCGCCTAGCACTAGGCGCTAATAATTGCATATATTAGACATTCAAATATTTAAAAGAACTCCTTAGCTAACCATTTTTCAGATTTCCCAAGTAGGACAGCCAGATTATCTAGTGAACAAAATTAACAGTGAATGATGATGTTTTACTGTCTCCAAAATAATGTCTTAAGCTAAGCTATCAAATCAGAAATGCTAGGGAATTAACTTTGTTGAACTGTTATTACTAGATTTAACCCATCATCAGTCAGCCTGATTTTTGGGAAGAGGCTGTATACTGTAAGGGGTCAGAGATGCCCTTGGATCTGGCAAAATTTCTTCTTTCATTTGCCCT